TATATATATATATATATACACACACACACACATATATATATATATATATATATAATCGAACGCGATTATCGGTAGGAGATAGAATTAACGGATTTAACATATTGTTGTAAGAAAACTAATATCGCAACAACGGAACCCCCCGCGTACATATGTCAAAATACATCGATATAAGTAACAATGTCACACCACACAAAAACTGTCCTATAGTGTTCTTCTTCAATGAATAACAAGTTGCTTTACATTTTGGATCGAAATGCGTCGCGTATAAAATGGAGATAAAACTGACGTAAGTAACATGAAATCCCATCATGTCTGGAAGAATTCGTGTTCGTGTTATTTGCCGGATACATGCAAATATTGAATCCTCGCAATGAAAAAGCAATCCAAATTATCGATTAGAGCCATATTATGATACGCGTTGTTAATTAGTACGTGTACCTCTCGACACATAAATACCGTAATATCAATGTTACAAACGGACTGAGCGCTTAAGTTAAATATTAGCTAGATTTCTTACAGAACTACGTCTAACTGCAGACCGAGGAGATGCTCGCAGAAGAAAGATCGAACCTATTATTGTGAAGTATTCAATCAGTCGCAACAGTCTCGGTTTCTATCATAAAAGATTTTCGTTTTCGAGGAACTGAATACACATCTTCGAAAGAGCGTACTCAAGCGGGCCGCATAATACAAGAGTCAATTTTTCACTCACGGTACACACTTTACGCGACCGCGCGCTACATAGATGTACCATTTGATATCTCGATATTCAATTTAGGAAAATTTATTTCTCTTTTAATCGTACGAACAAGAATATCATACGTAGAAGAATTTAGTATCTACAGTTTTACAGACCATGTTGCTCGCTGTGCCTTAAAGAATAAATAATATTTGATATTCTCCGCGCAGCTCGTAGCTACCATTTAGAGAAATACGGCCGTCAAATGCAGTCACGATTAGTCCGTTGTTACTGTTGGCAGAATCTTTCATGTCAAATGAACGATACGTTAAAAATGGTGTTGCGAATAATTACACACTATTCGACCTACGAAATCGTCAATAATATAGATATAACGAACGGCGAGTGATAGTCATTTTTTGGCGTGGTGCGATTGTGTGTATAGACATTCGTTCATAGTACAAATTATTCTTAAGTCTAAAAAAAAGATATGGACATTTCTCGTTAAATCTCAACCAATATCATCTGTTCTCGAAATATGTTTCTTTTTTTTTTGATGGATAAATATATACAAAAATATTTACAGATACATTTACACCACTAATGCAGTCGAATATATTGAGACAACTTAAATAATGGTGCGCTGTAATTGCAATAATTTAGTTAAAAATTAATACTTCCTACGACAAATCTTTGATCAAAGAGCTTAAATAACTAAACAAGTACCTTGGAAACCTATGATTGCTGAAACGAATCGCACGCATTTGTAATGATACAAATTTCTTTTTTTGAATAAAAGTTTCTTATAGGATTTCAACAAATAACGAAGTAATAGTCCACTACCAAAGGTAAAATGGACTAGATTACGAAGCAGGTAATGTAGCATGTTATGCACACAATAAATCATCTAAATTTAGTGTAAGTTATATTTGTGCTGCAATGTAAAAGACTTGGATTACTTAGAAAAAAGAAAAGAACCCGTCGCAAAGCTAATTTTACCATCGCCACAATAGACTTCGAAGAAACATGGCTATTACAAGTTAAGTGTAGTAGGCGATTATTTCAGATACTATGCATCTTTTATGTTGATTTCATTCCGAATATACCCGGATTTCACATGTGCAAGTTGAATTTCCTAGTCGAGAACGTCAACTTGGACAAAGGCACGATTGACGTAGGTAATGCTTGTGCAAAATATCGCTATATAAAAATTAAAACTCTCCCCGTTTTCAAAAAAAAAAAAACTAAAATAACAATAAATATAAGCAAAGCGAATACTATGTTTGTATACAATGTACAATAGAAGTCCTGTCTCTCATTTCTTCCCTTTTTTTTTTATATCCTCTCTCGATCTATCTAATAAAAATATTCAGAATCACTACCTTCATTTGAAAATTGAGAAATCATTCAGACATCATTCAGTCCCACTCGCTAAGTTCGTTCCTAACTGTATTAAGTTCTTTCTTAATTCACGCCTTTGGTGTACTCAGCTCTCAACTGGCCGAGTGTCACTTTTATATCGTGGAAACTCGGTCTCTTTTCCGGCTGCAAATCCCATGCCTACCAAGAGAGAGAGAGAGAGAGAGACAAACACATAACTCGGTAAAACAATGTCGACAATAAGATACGACATGCAACACATGTGTGTGTATATGTAAGAGACTGAAATTTAATAATCTACCTGTCTCATAATATCATAAACTTCCGGAGGACATCCGTCTGGCGGCTCCATCTTGTATCCTTTTTCCACGCACTTCACAACGTCGGCTAAAGGCTACAATGAGAAATGAAACGTGACACAAGCGCATCGAGCGTGTCGTACACCAATCGAAGACTTCGGCGTTAAACATGTACACTTACAATTCGCGGGTACGGCACGCGACCAAAGGAATAGATCTCCCAAAGAAGAATTCCGAAGCTCCACATGTCAGACTTGTTTGAGAACTTCTGGAAACAGCAATGTGATACGTAATTACACAACTATATCCCCCAATCCGCCGGCAACGCAGATCATTCGCACGCTTACGCTCTGTTTTAAAGCTTCCGGTGCAGTCCACTTGATCGGCAGCTTGCCACCGTCGAGGGAAAAGTTTTCGTCCCGCGCCAAGCCGAAATCGGATACTTTCGCGGAGTTATCCTCCGCCACGAGAACGTTCCTCGCCGCCAGGTCTCGATGCACGACGTGTCTGGACTCCAGATAAGCCATACCGGCGCACGTATCGCTGCAATATTAAGCCCCCGATCAATTAAACCGCGGCAGATGCGGCGGTTTACGATAACCGTCACGAATAACGACTCTTGCATACTTCCGGCTCTTGCATACATACTAGGCGAAATTAATCTGATCCTTCTTCGAGACGTGCAGCCGGCCTCTCGATCGTAAATAGTCCACCAGCGATCCCTTGCTCATATATTCCGTAACCAGGTATATGTGTTGATTATTAAAAACGAGACCGAGTAACTTAACCAGATTGTCATGAATCAACGAGGTCATTAAGCTCGCCTCGGCGAGAAACCTTTGCGCCGCCTCGCTGTTATCCTTCAGCATCTTCACCGCGACCTTCTCTCCCCGATAGACACCTAACAGCACATCCCCGAATTCTCCCTTTCCGATGCACTCTCTTAATTCTAAGTCGTGAGTCTGAATCACCCAGCCGGCCTCCACGAACGCTTTCGGGTCCACGCAGAAATCCTGCTTGCCCTGCTTCGGCAGTGACTTGGTCAGTTGCGTGCACAAACCGTCCGCGTCCTGCTCGTAGTGCTCCACCAGAAGCGCCAGATTCTCGAAGAACTCCTCGTCGTCGATCGTCAATTGGTTGTTCTTGTACTTCACCCTGTAGTGCTGCACGCGCCCTTGGTAACAGACGCACAGCGTGTAGTCCCCGGGGAAGTTGGTGGACTCTCGAACTAGGAATAGGCCGTCTTCTCGCGGCCGCAGTAATCTTTCCGCCGTTTCCCTCGATATCTTCCCGTGAAACCATCTGGACAGAGGAGACGACCGTACAATTTCGTTACGGACCAATGAGCAAAACGTCGACCCAGAGAGTCTGTCGTTGCTGTCCCCTCTCGCAACTGCGTTTCCGCCGATTCCGTCTCCGACAACTCCAGTTGCGTGTCGCGTTTCAGGGGATGCCATACTTGAAAACTTCGCCGGCAAAATAGTGACTTCTCTTTGCCAAATTTCCGTCCCATTGACTGTGCGGGATTATAAATGCTTTCACATAATAAAAGTATGCTCGATATGAGCGAAAATAATTCGAAATTTCAAAATTGACACCCCTAGTTGTCAGTTAACGTAAATATTTGCCCGACACGTAGAAATCCTATAGCTTGTACGTCACGAATATGCTTCGACCGTGAAAATGAATGTCAATGAACATTTTTACACCATTCAATTAAAATTTAGAGGCGTAAAAAGGTGCAAATAGTTTGTGGAGCAATTCTTATAAATCTTAAGTGTTTCCCGTTAGATATGATGAAACAGAATCGCGCACATTCATCGCACTTACATTTACGTAAGATCTATATATACGATCGGCGCCGGATACGCTGTACCATTCCTTAGACGGAGAGCCACACAATTTTCAGCCTTATGCATAACGCATAAGGTAGAAAATCGCAAAAATAATGCTAGCCGTAATGATAAGTCCGGCAACCTGTTAGCAGCGGCAGTCTGACGAAAGATTGGCGACAGATCCGTAATGACATCTGTGCTCGCGATCTGCGATTATTCTGTCGACAGAATCTGACGGCAGATTCGCGGCAGAAAGCGAGCTGCAGTACATGTTTATTCCGTCTATATGAATTATTCCATTTGAATCTTTACGAATATAGTAATAGTAAAAAATATTCAATCTAGGAAATGGTACGGCACATATGACTGTACAAAAAATATACAAAAAGATTAGCATAATCAGTGTTTATGTAACGTGACATTTGGAGGATCATTTCGACGTTACCGGCGCTTATCGGGTTCGTCATTGGCCTCGGCATCCCCTTAAAGCGACACAACCGGACACAACGACCCTCTCTCTCCGTCGATGGTCACGTGTATCGGGCTGAACCATAGATAGATACATACGGCATCGCGTTCAGCTTCACCTCGTGCCTCGGATTGACCGGCAAAGCGGTGGTGTTGCCCGGATTAATGGCATTTGAGGTAAGGATCACCGGCGTGGAAGCGGTGTTCATGTGCGTCGTGATATTCACCGGGGCGGTGACGCTTGAATGCGTGGTCATTGTCGGCGATACCGGGTGGGACGGAATGTTACCTGCAGTCAGGTTGGAAGGTACGCTGTGCTGCTGAGTGCTGTTTTGTATGAGGGGATGGGACGTTACGTTTGAAGGGATAGTATGATGATTTTGATTGCCGTCGAGCTTTGCTTGCCGCGCTGGCGCTGACACGTTCGGGTATCCACCACCCGCATTGTGGTACGTTGGCATGGCAGCTGCCACAGTAGGCTCCGTCAACCTGCGAAGATGAATGAAGCGCATTCATGAGCGGGGCGGCGTTCATCAGACGCTCGTTAAGTCAAACGCGTTCTCTATCCGAGTTGCTACGCACTCGTGATACACGTGGAAGTAACATGGGACAGGGCGATAGTACGGAATAGAAATTTCGTGCACGCCAAGCTGAGCTTTCGGACATTCTTCCGAGGAGAACGTGGAGACTTTTTTTATATAATGGTCAATATAGATAGCGTTAACGTCGAAGATAACGTTAATGTACGAAACGGAGAGATTTCATTTCTCTCATGCGTTGTACTCTTGCATTAATGCAGTTGGCCCGTGACTGTATTTTTAGAAAGGCAACGGGTAATACAATACGAAAAAGCTCGGCAATCTGTGCAAAAATGTTTATAAACATAATTAATGATATGCAGCTTTGACACTCATATAGTTTAAAAACTCAAAGAAATCATTATTTCTCGCGCTTTGGCGTACAACACGGACTGGAATCATTCATTTTAAGCATATATTTGCAAAATATATACACCGATAGACGCAAAAAAAAATGATCGTGACGTCAGATTTTTCTGTATTTTTCTGTACCTTCCGTATTTTTACATGTTAACACTTTAATGGCCGCTCACACAACATGTATGTGATAGCCGGAACAACTGTTATTGTCCGTTCACATAACATGTGTGTGATGCTACCGCTGAAGATTACTGGCCAGTACCACACTCTCTGTGTGATGATTTATGAATGTAAACAAGTGATTTTATGAATGTAAACAGCAAATTTTAATAAAGTTTTCTTAAATTAATTTTTCAAAAATATTGCCGGCCCCTGGCGACGTTTGACTGCGTAGACGTGCGGGCATTAAAATGTTAATTATAAATTTTTACGGTTATTTAACCATTTTGTCTTTGAAAGAATGTCTAGTCGAGAGGCACGAAGGGAAATATAACACGTGCAATATTACCAAATCTTTACAAGCTAGTTGTTATATACTTCAATCATTATTAAAAATTGAGTATTTTACATATAAATTTCTGGAAAATCAGATAGTTAAGGATCTTGTGATTTTTGTATAATATTTCTGCAAGTCTTTTATCGTCTTCTCGTTTTTCATTAAAACCGTAAAAGTAATTTGATCGCTAGTATTAAAAAAACGGGAAGCCGTTTTTGTACCTGTGATACATGCAAACTAACTTTGCTCGAACTTTGGCTTCAGTTACCTCAGCTTTGGTGCGGTCAAACTTTTTCCAGTTTTACACGTGTGTAAATTGTACTTAAAATTAATATGCTATTAAAATGTGAGAAGTTCCCTAAGAAATTAAATTTACGGACCGGCTACCTCAACAGTAAATTGAGTTGTTAAACGGTTACGGCGCATCGATAGAGTTTTGCTGTCAGTTTTTACCGGGGATCGTCGAGGAACTGCAAGTTTCACAAAAGAGGGAGAGAGAGAGAGAGAGAGAGAGAGAGAGAACTTTCCCGGCGAAAGAAGATGTGTCTCCGGTCACAAAAATAATGAACGAGGCGCAAAGTGATTGGCAATGCCCGGCAACTCGTCTCAATTAGTCCGGCGATATAACGTGCTCGCGAGAGCGAGCCCGTATAGGAAGTGATAATTAATAAAACTCGTTAGGCAAATTAAGCCCGATACATATTCAGCCTGGCATCCGTATCCGCCGACCGCGCTGAGTTTTAATACAGCGGTAGTTGGTCTAAAGTGCCTATTGTTTCAAGGCGTACACCGTCGCGATGCTCATCCGCCGCGTTACGATGTGTGCCGACACACGGCCACCGTACATGGAACGTATGTACGCGTATATGATAGGTGAGTCACTGCCGCGCGTATTTTCGCAACGATTGTAATACGAATAAGCGTGGTAACAGGCCGGCAATTATCAGAACCTGACTAAGCGACATGATTTCTATGCGGAATGTATTTCCCAGAGGAGAATTTATTACGAAGAATCGCACACGTGTCATTCGTCTCCGTACCGGTACGGGTCCGAATAAGCGTTCGAACATATTCGTATATTACACGTGTCGAGGAACAAGATTAACCGGAGTAAAATTTGCATCGAAATAATGCGAAAAAAGATGTCGAGAGAGAGAGAGAGAAAGAAATTGTGAGAAAAAGAGATACATTCTCGATGTACGTTCGTTCGGATGAACGAAATGTACGCAGGAAAATAGCTTTTAGAGGATGCTTCTCGGTTCTGCGGATCCGGCAACGATTTTCTCGCGTTATCCGCATTATGATCGGGCGTAGTAACAGGAGAAACAAATCCATCACACCGGGAAATATTGAATAATTCAGTCGAGAGTCTATCCTTAGTCGACGCCTGCGAGACAGAAAGATAAAGAGAGAGAGAAAAGCAGAAACGAGCGACTTATGTCACGCGAAAACGTATACTTGCAGCGGAACATAATAATATGAGAATCGCCGTTACGTAAGCCCGGATAGTCACATTTCTGTCGTGTGCCCCCGAGGATTTCGCAAGAGACAGATAAGCGACTAACCAGATGCGATGAGAGAAGAATACGAGAGACGGATTTTTCATATATCGGGTTGTTCTCGTCTTCCGAATGAAATATAAAAATTTTGCACGCTTAGGGTCCACATAATTTCCGCGTTACGTCGCTGATAACGATGATAACGTAAGCGCGCAATGGGAAGTTAAACGTCTCAAATTTTACGGATCTTCGAGCTACAACGGGTGTCCTATATACCCACCTACTTCCCTATGTCAAGACGGAATTTCGCTCGTCAGTCAGAAAACAGTATCGTGCCCGCTGGGTGCGAAACGCCTTGAATATCAATATTGAATTCGAATGCGCGCCGCATACGTATAATACATGTTCCATCGCGCTTGTCAGGTGACCCGACTGCCCCAGCCGTTGTTACTGCATAGATTTCGGCCTAATGAAATTTATTATCAGTCGCACGCGACGTTAATTCCCCCGCCGGGGCGACATGCATGAAGAAAGAAGGAAAAAAAGCGCTTCGAACTGATCTATCGCGTACAACGAAGTACTTAAGAAAGTGTTGCATGTTATAAATTTGCAAACGTTTATGACTCAAACCATCTGTGTGCCCACAGTATCTGTGATTCAGAGGAAGTGCGCCGTTTCTGACGATTGAACACTCCTCGTATTAGTACATCTCTCTTCCTCTCTCTCTCTCTCTCTTTTGTGTGAAAATTTAATAAATTTGCATATTAATCTCCATAATAGTTTTTTATTAAATTAATATTTTTGGTTCAGAAAATAGAGATTAAAAATAGCACGCTAATTTTTTAAGGAACCCTTGTAAAAAGTGTCAATTTTAGTTACAAATATCTCAGTTCTCGAGTGATCGATCTTTTTCTAATTCCATGAGCAGTGAATTAGATAATATTTCAATATGTAGACAATGCAAATTTCACCGAATTCTTATCAAATTCATTTCACCTCATGCAACCTCTTTTAAAGTAGAATAGCTTTTTATTCAAGCTCTGAATTACCGTCGAACTCTTGGTGTCACTTTTAAATGCAACGTAAATCAATTAACATCTCGAGTGGTGCGTTACAAATAAGTCGTTATAAAAAAAAAGTACCTTGTGACTTAATACTGCGTGACTTCGCTTTTAATGGCAGCGATCGCTCGTTGCGCAACGAAGCAGTCGAAGTTCCATTTTAACAAACAGCCTTATCGGAAATCTAGAAGTGCAAGACGGACCGAATGTTCTGTAAGGCAAATATTCTCGCGTGCGTTTGGCTTGGGAGAGCCGAGGAGAAGAAACTGCGAGTCGGCTTCGTACATAACGACGATGTTCAACGACATACTTATAAAATATCTCGGACCGGCCGAGAGCAGCGCGGTGCCGCCTATGTTAATTTCAGCTGAATACGCAGGCACGATAATTATGCGGCTCGTATGCAGATCTCAAGGCCGGCTCAGAAGTTTCTGTTTACATCGGTGTTTTTTCGAACTCCTCACTCGTGACTCACTCTGTCGAGAAGCGCCTTCTTCATACGAAGAACCGCAGGCCACAGTCCAACACAACGTTCGCACGACGTTCGCGACGCGGTTACGTTCGCACGTGGAATGCTCCATTTATCAGGAAAAAGGAAATGTTTCCGTGTCCGTGATGCGACCGCCGTCCGTGTGAATACGGTTGTAAGCTCTCAAGGCTGAACAATAACTGAAATAATCGCGGTTCTCACCGGCCTCCGGCAAACGGGACAAGAGAGCCCTTTCTGTGTGCACGGTATATCTCTTCACTGACGAAAATTCCCTTTTTTTTCCAAGCATTTACGTTGTGGTGCGCGGGGAAAAATAATTTAGAAACAGATTTTAATGCTGCCGTATATATAACAGCTGTTGTATTTAGCAACAAATTCAAAGTCCGACGTTCAAAGTTCAACATACTGGCTGTCTGTCGCTGAGAAAAACAGCTATCGTACACTTGTAGATTAAGTCACTCGGAACAAAAAAGTTCACCATTTTGCAAATAACATGCAAATTTTTTTAGCTCTTAATTAAAGAAACCTCTATACGTGGCCATTTTCAATAATCAATAACTCGAAATTTTGCGTGTTGTTCGTAAAATGGCAGAGGACTTTTCTGCTCGGTTTAACCCGTTCTACACTTTCGTGAAGTTTGTCCCTGCTAGTCTGAGACGCCCTGACAAAATACTTGAGAACACCTCTTAACGCACTTATGCTAGTCACGATGCAGACGATAACCGAAATATGTCTATCTGGGTATGTAAGGATCTCAAAAAAGGACCTTCATAAAAAGATCTCAAAAACTAACTCCTAAAATATCAGATAAATAAATATATTAAAAAAAAAAAAACGACAGCACAAAACTTGCCGTCTCTCTCCGAATTATTTCTTCTCGTGTAGATAAAAGATCACGTGACGATGAAAGAGGCGCATGGTCTTCCTTTAATTACAGAGCAGCGCAAGTAGAGCAGCCCCGCGACGCCTGGAAGCCGCGGAACGAACGCGAGATCGGCGTGATCGGGTCGCGGTTGCACGGAGAGAGTCTCGTGTTTATCGGCCGTGTGCACCAGACGAGACGACATTCTTCCGTGTGATCGGCGATTCGCGAGCTCTCGCGCGACGGACCGCGGGTTCTCGATCGCGGGATCTCGATTTCGCGAGCGATTTATGCGCGGCTCGTGCCCGCCGCTCGCATATGCGCCGGCCGGCCGGCACGCACCGCGGTCCTATTAATATCACGCGAGAGAGAGAGAGAGAGAGAGAGAAAGAGAGCGTAAAAGGGCGCGCGAAAGGCACGACGGACGGGAGGAAGGCAGCGAAGAAAAACG